CTCCTCGAAATACCCAACAAACTATATATATTCTTGATCAGCGTAAAATTCTAAGTCGATTTAGCAATGTCCGTCCGTCTGTCTGTCTGTCCGTCTGTCTGTTGTAATGACGCTATCTTTCGAACGAATTGAGATAGAAGGCTAAAATTTTGCACACGTAATTATTTTTCTAGTAGGCAGGTTAAGTTCGTAAATGGGCCATGTAGCAATGGAGGTGGGGTTAAGGTCAGAATAGAACCCTATTTCTTTTGAAGATGATCGCATAATATTTAGGGGTTGAAATGGACCAAATACAGAAAAAATGTCGGATTTTGCAGTAGCTATACAGGTCGCAATTATAGACCAATCGACGCGGAATTTCGCATGAAGCTAGAGTTTAGGGCGGGGAAGAAGCCTACCAATTTTGATGGTCATCGGATAATATTTAGCGGGCAAAATAGACCATATCTTTTTTGTTGAAAAAATTCAAAATTTTTCATTATACCGCGAATATTTTAAATCGCGGTGAAATCACAAAGCCATGACATGGTTACATTGAAGATCAGATTACATTGATGTTAACATACAACAAATCGGATATATAGCAAAATATGTGCGATATATATGTCTATCAAAGAAGATATGCTTGAAAGATGTCATATATGTCGAGAACGGCTGAACTGATTTCAACAGTTCTCATTAATTCAGAATGGCCTCTTGGCAGGAAAGATAAAACATCTAAAAAATAGCATAAAAATATCTCTCTAAAGATAAAAATATTGATTTTGTAACATTTTCTCATTTTTTTTCAATTTTGTCATATTTTTGGCATATTTTCATTTTGAATTAAACATTTGATCACCAAGTAGTTAGGATATCAGGATATCATATACAGATCGCATTCATTGCCCGATCCTTACGAAATTTTGCATGGAGATAAGATTAGGGTCAGAATAGAAGCCTACTCTTTTTGGAGATGATCGCCATATATTTAGGGGTTGAAATGGACCAAAAAAAAACCAAACCAAAAATTGTCAGCAGGTCGTAATTATAGCCCGATCCTCACACACATTTGAATGGGGGGTTACCGGACATTGCAAAAGCCAAGCAGTTTTGGATGGCCATCCAAAAATATTCAATGTGTAAAGGAGTTTGCCAACTTTTGTAGACAAAATAAGACAATGTCCATTCAGGTGACTTTTTGGAGAATTCACAAATACAGGAAAGACGAACTTCTGACTATTTCGTTAACGCTGATTTCGTTGAAGAATATAGTCAAATGTCTGTATCTCATATAGATGTGTTTCAGTTAAAAACCAATAATAAATGTTAATCTTTTGTCACTTCTGAGAGATTATAGGTCTTTGGGAAATATTGGTTCCAGATCTAGGAAGACCATTTACATGCTACATCTATCAATAAACTGGAAATGAGCAAATTAGTTTAAGTTGCTATTATTCGAAAATTAGAGAACGGAACCTGATGGTTTTCTTTTATTATTTGTCACAATATCTTGTGGAATTCTTTCGAGTATCTCGCCTATATAAACTGTATCATTTATTATAGTGTTGTAGGGTATTCAACGGTCGGCCCCGCTCGACTGTAGCCTTTGCTTACTTGTTTTTCAGTTCAATTTAATATATTTAAAAAGTAATATATGTAAATGTATACATTAATCATCAATATATTATAAAATAATATTAATTCGTTGAACTTAATTTAATTTATTTATCCTTGTTATAATTAATCAGTAAACATTGATTTGTTTGACATTTCGTAATTAAATGTAAACTTTCATTTTCGGGACAGATCAGGTCGGTCATTAACAATATCGACATTATTGTCATATGAAGGCGTTAATTCTGGCATTACGACAATGTTTTAAAGAAATTTAAAAGTTGTTGATAATTTTTGGGTTGTAATCAAATTTTGAATTCAATTGATTTTGGCTTGACACAGACTGTAATACTTCCATTGTTGTATGAGAGATGACAGAAAGGGTCAGCCTATATTGGCGATTTTCACACCTAACCTATGAAAGTGTAATACACATATTATATGTTTACATCTTTTTGGGGGAAGTACCAGAAACAGTGGATCGAAATTACCCATCGAAGTGATAGAAATTTGCAATTTATGAAAGTGAAAATCCAAAAATAATCCTTCGAATTCGATGTATTTGCTTCTAGATTGAATTCGGCCGGGTGTACCAAAATTCAGGACTGATATTGGCCATTTGGTGCACAATTAACCCGAAATCGGTTAAAGATATATATGGGACCAAAATCCAAATCTAAACCGATATTGATAAGTTTTGGCATAGTTATCTCTGGGCTGTATCTGATAACTGTTACTAAATATAATTCTTGTCAAATGCATATTATGAATATGAGGGACTTAAACACCAAATCAGATGACAATATATATGGACGCTATAGCTATATCTGAACCGATTTTTACCAAATTTAATGTACTTACTTTTAGACTGAATTTGGTAGGCATATACCAAAATTCAGGTCATTTGGACTGATATTGGCCACTTGGTGCAAAATTAACTTGAAATCGGTTGAGGATATATTTGGGAGCTATATCCTAATTTGAACCGATCTTGACAAAATTTGATACACTTATTTGAGAGCTATATCTGATATCTGGTACCAAAAATCATTGTTGTGGAATGCGTATGACACTTGTAAGGGACTTTAAACCCCAAACCGGATAAAACATATATACAGGGTGAGATAAAAAACTGCAACCAAATTCAGACTGCTGTCATTTCTAAGTCACTCGACAGCTTTTAAAATAATTCCAGTGTCAGCTCATTACATTGTTTACAAGCGTACAAAAGCATTTTGCTGAGCATTTTCAAAAAAAAAAAAGTTATTTGCTATGGAATTCAAGCGTGAGACTGTGATTTCTTTATATTTGGCTGAAAACCACAAGTGGATATCGTTAGAGCACTGCAGCATTTAAATGTGAATTACCGTGATACTGGTAGCGTAGCCCGATGCCAAGGAATTGGACGAAAGAAAACAGCAACATCAGCAGCAGAAATGGTTCGAAAGGTAAAGAACCTACTTGATCGAACCCCGCGTCGCAGTGGCCGAAAAATGACTCTTGAGCTGAACATATCGCAATATTCCATTCGGCAAATATTGAAAAATGAGCTCGAGGTAAAGCCATTGATATTCCAAACAGCGCAAGAACTTACACCGCAACAGAAAGAAAATACACTCAAAAGTGCTAAAGAGTAGCACCGCTTGGCCGAAAGTAGTGAACTGCCGCAGTTTTTAAACAAACAAAATGATTGTGTTTACTTTCCAAAGAGGTCAGCTGAAAATGTGCACTTTCGGTTGGCAACCAGAACTAAAGCACCGGCCATGGTGATGGTGTGGGCCGCCATAACAGCCGATAGTCGTTCTCCGCTCGTTTTAATCGACAGAATAAATGCCAAATATTATCGCGAAAATATTTTGGAGGTTGCATTAAAGTCTTGGGCAAGCAAACATTATGGCCGCAGACCTTGAACATTCCAACAGGACTCAGCACCATCGCACTCAGCACGAGCCACCTAATAATGGTACAAAATGAGGTTCCTCTCTTCATTTCCAGCGCACAATGGCCACCAAAATCTTCGGATACCAATCTGTCGGACTATTGTGTCTGGAGGGTTTTGGAAAGCAAGGTTGCCACAAAAAAATATCAAAGTGTTGATGACTTCAAGCAAGCGCTTCGCCGGGAATGGACCAAAATACCGCAGAGCAACATTCGGGCAGCGTGTGACAGTTTCATTGGCCGTCTGAAGGCCATAATTCGTGCCAAAGGTGACCAATTCGAACAAATCTAAACTTATGCTAAAACTTGATGCTATTTCCCACATTTTTTCTTTTGTTCAATAAAATTTAAAAAAGGAAATGTAAAAATTATGGCGTTTGACTTTGTTGCAGTTTTTTGTCTCACCCTGTATATATGGGAGCTACATCTAATTTTTGACCGATTATCTCCAATTTCAATAGGAAGCGTTATTGGGCCTAACAAATGATTTGTACAACATTTTATCTTGATCAGTTAGTACATGCGACCTGCAAATAGTTTACAAAAATACATAGACAGGCTGACGACTCAGAATGTATCATCAAAAGGAACTATGGGTCTGTCTCGCTTCTCTCTCCGTGGTGTAGGGTATAAATATTTGAGGTTAGACGGAAATTTGTTATACCTATTTACAGAGAAATTATAGCCCATTTCACCCTCTAAATATTTTCCGATGTCCATTCAAACCCTAACCCCATGAGAAATGACTCGTCGATTCCTCTGTTATTCTGGGCAATAAACTGGGCACTGCAAAATTAGGAAAAACATCTATTGTTGGACCATTTCATCCCTCAACATTTCATACGAAAACTTTCATGGACAAACGGATACACATAGCTAGATCGACACCGCACGCCGAGATATTACGATCGGTGGAAGTAGGATCAATATTTTGGGGTGTTCTGCCCAATCAAACTTTTAATACCCCTAACACATAGTTCAGAAGGTTTTTAAAATAGGATGTCTCTCAAATTACACACAACAGGTCTGTTCTTCATATGCGTACTTTAAAGGTTTTTTTTTTTTTCCAAAATTGACAGTTTTAACACTTTACCCGCCATTTAATTGTGGAGGTTGTGAAAAATCTGAAAGTACATTCAGATACACATGTTTGACTGGACATGCAATCTATCCAAATAGATGCACTCATATTTATTTTCTTACAATTCATTGAAATTCCAAGTGTCATCACCTGACAATAACAACTCAGCGAACGAACGAACGAACGAATGTATGAATGAACATTCCGATAATGGCCTGCACCTTAGAATTGGCAAATATCCCATACACCTAGTAATAGGTGAGGGGATCGGAGAGTAGAAATTAACGATAGCATCTTAATTTGTAATCAATGATTTATATTCTGAGTGGAATAACAATGAAACGTTGTAACTTTTGCTTTTCTACCCCCTTTACCCCCAATTTAGGCCTTTGTACACGTCTCCTCGGCCTTTGCCAATTGTTTGGCCTTACATGGCGAAGAACGTTTCTACACGGAATATTTGGGTATCAGTAGCGAAGATTTGTTGAGCATTAAGAAAATTTTGGGTAATGAGAAATTCGATCGAATGGAGGTGGATTTGGTGGGAAAGTATCCGAATACCTATTGCTATACAAAATCACTGGCAGAGGAGGCGGTGCTGCGGTATTGTGGAAATTTACCGGTTTGCATATTTCGACCGGGAATAAGTGAGTAGCAACACATTCATATACATATGTATTTAAATATAAATCTATGGAAATATTAATAATAAATAATTCTAATGTATATCCGCAGTTCTGCCCACCAGCGCCGAACCTGTCCCCGGCTGGATTGACAACTTGTATGGACCCATGAGTGTTTTATATGGAGCTGCCTATGGTGTTCTGCGTGTGATGTATGGCAATCCGAATCATAAAGCTGGTCTGGTGCCGGTGGATTTTTGTGCCAACATGATGTTGGCCTGTGCCTGGTATACCGGAACGGCGGTTAAACAAATGTGAGTCGGAGCAGTTCCAAAGAGATGTGAAATGACTAAAAACATATATTTTTATTTGCAGACCTTCCAGTGATCCCACAATTTACAATTTAGTACCGGATCAATCGAACACATTGCACTGGGGTGCCTACAAGCGATTCGTCGAAGAACATGGCGTCGAAATTCCCCTGGCCAGCATGATTTGGTATCCATTTCTAATATTTGCCCAAAATAAGTATTTCTATAATTTTCTGATCCTGATTTACCACACTTTGCCGGGATTTTTTATTGATTTTATGCTGCTGCTGATGGGCAAGAAACCGAGGTAGGAAAATATTTAAAAATTTCAGAATTTTTATTATATTGTATTTTTTGCCCTTTTCCAGAATGACAAAGGCCTACAAGAAAATTCACAAACAGTGCAATTTGTTGCGTTACTTTTTACAGAACAACTTTACATTTGACACCACAAACACACAGAATTTATGGAAAATAATGACCGTCGACGATCGCAGAATATATAATTTCGATATGGTCGCCTTGGACTGGAGTAAATATTTCTATAATAGTCTGTTTGGTTTGCGACGTTTTCTGGCCAAAGAAGACCCGTCGACAATACCGCAGGCCAAGAAATTACTGAGAAAGTAAGTGAAATTATTGATTTTTAATCGGAACCAATTTCATTAAGGCAGTGTAGGCTGATATATTTTTTCTCTGTGAATAATAGGCCCGATTCTGTATTACCTCTACGTAGGGTTAATATGAACCCAAATATTGGATACTATGAAATTTTACTACAATATATACCTTGACATTTTTGCAAACAAGTTAAAAAGTAACAGTCGGTTTTGCCAAAAGGTCCATACCCTCAGCCTTGCGTTATGATTGTTCATCCCCTTTTATGGGGATGATTCCGAAGTAGTGGGCCAATATTTTCCATTTTGTACCTGACCCCAATCTGATATAAATATTACAACTTGCCCGAAGTGGACTATTACGACTACATTTCTCACATTTATGATAATTTTATATGGGGGCTATACGAAGACGTGGACCTGAACAGATAATTTTCTGTCATAGGCTGTAGAATCCATTACGAATCTCAAATACCAAATTTGAAACAATTCCGGTGAATAATGTCGCTAAAATCATCAAAATACCGAATATCGGGAGGTACTTATATGTGGGAGCTATATGAAAACGTGGACCTACATGGCCCATTTACGAACTTAACCTGCCTACTGGAAAAATAAATACGTGTGCAAAATGTTAGCCTTCTATCTCAATTCGTTCGAAAGATAGCGTGATTACAACAGACAGACAGACAGACGGACATGGCTAAATCGACTTAGAATTTTACACTGATCAAGAATATATATACTTTGTTGGGTCTGACATGAGTATTTCGAGGAGTTACAAACGGAATGACAAAGTTAATATCCCCTTCATAGTATGGTGGAGGGTATAATAAAATTAGGATGGGAATTGCTTCTGGTATGAAGAGGGTGAACGTGAAAATCCGAATATTGTGTCTTTAAAGTTATAACCATGAGATTTTACGTCACTATTAGTGAGAGGTATTAGGAAAAATAGCTTCTTATTGGAAATCCATACTGAAAGGTACTAAAAACCAGTTATAAAAGTATCAGCCGGTTTGCCGACTGATGTGTACCCTCAGCCTATGTCAGTTTATTCAAATATATTTTGAACTTATTGGGGTGGTTCGAATGGAGTGGCCCAATTTTTGCCCATTTCGTATCCGACGAATGTTTGATAGAATTATTACAAGGTATAATGTTTGGAAAATGTTGAAATGTTCCTGAGGTATCTACGAAGTAAAATACAGGGTTGCCCATATTCGACGGACCTTTGGGCCCATTCCAATAGACGAGGCTTGTCCGCAGGCAACATTCTTTGCGTCAATTGAATTTTGTACGGGAACAAATGCAAATCAATGCGAATAATCCGTTGTAAAGTGGACCGAGCTATGCCCAACTGCTGAGAACGGCGTTTTTGGGATGTTCTTGGGGACCTCTCAACACTGGCTCGTACGGCAGCGATATTCTCGGCCGATCGCCTTGGTCGATTTTTATGTGGCCTCTTCGGATTAGAAAGAGCCTTACCAGTCGAACATTTTTCGTATAAACGCTTAATGGTGTTCTTAGAAGGCGCACTTCTCACATTTTTTAATGTTTTAAAAGCACGTTGAGTTTTCACAATTGACTTCTTCTGTTGAATGTAAATTTCAACTATTTCAGAGCGCTCGCGTGGCGTGTATTGGTTCATGGTAAAAATCTGCTTGGACTGACGCTTCAAACGCGGTATGTCATTAAGCGATGTGACATCTCTGTCAAAAGTTATGGCGTTGCCAGGTGGGTCCGTCAAATATGGGCAACCCTGTATTTTCTTTGAAAATTTGGACCTTTATTTGCCAATACCAAACTCAACCTAAATTTGATAATAATATAATAATATCATGCTTGGACCAAATCGGATACTCCTAACGAGCGTTGTTGGGCAAACCAACCGGACGGACACCTCTGAATAGACTCCAAATATCTAGAAACGGATTTGATCTGACTAAGGGTATAAAACCGTTATTTCGATGAGGCACGTTTTGGCCGTATCAAATGATACCTACCCTCTGTGGTAATATGGCTGAAAGTATCACACATTTAGTCCAGAATTTTGAAATTTGACGTGGAGTTTGAAAAATTAGTCTTTTATGGTAAAAGTGTTGAGAATCACTAAATTCGATAGTGTCTGAGTCCAAAACGTCAGTGTGCTTTAAAGTACATATGTGCGTCAAGCATAAAATCACGAAAGATACCAAAAAACTGTTTGCCCGAAAATTTAGTTTTAGGTAGAACTTTATATTAAGTGACACTAAAAATAAGTAACTATTTTAGTCCTCTAGATGTCAGTCATTCGAAATTTTTTTATGTTTTATTTTGATTTGGGGCAAACATGCGAAGTTTGAGTTTTATAATTATATAAATTAAAAAAGTAAGCAAAGGCTATAGACGTGTCAAATTTGAAAAAAATCGCATGCGATAAAAAATATGAAAAAATAAAAAAATGTCACAAAATACTATAAAATCTTTATTAACATCATTTTATACTTTTAAGTCAAGAGGGCATTCTGATGTGACAACATTTGTCAAAATCGGTCCAGTCATTCTTGATATATAAGCATTCTAACTGACATCCCCTTCTTTGGAAATACACATTGTATATATTTCGCTATATATATCCGATATATTTACTATCGGCATCTATTTAACGGTCAGAGTTGACCTGTTCGTCTATTTGTGATTTCGCCGAGATTAAAAATATTCGCGGTTTAATGGAAAATTTGACTTTTATTTAACATAAATGTTGTGGCCTATTTCACCCACTAAATATTACCCGATGACCATCAAAATTGGAAGGCTTCTGCCCAGCCCTAAGGTCCAGCTCCATGCGAACTTCCGTTTTGATTGGTCTATAATTGCGACCTGTAGAGCAACTGCAAAATCATTAATTTTTTCAGTTTTTGGTCGATTTCAAACCGAAATAGGGTTCTATTCTGACCCTAGCCCCACCTACATTCTAAATTTGTGAAGATCCGGCCATAATTACGACCTGTAGAGTGATTACAAATTAACATGGACAGACGGACAGACGGACAGACGGACATACATAGCTAGATCGACTCAGCTCGGCGAGATAGGAAGATCCATATATACTTTCCTATGTGGGAAACCAATATTTCGTGGTGTTACATAATTTTTGGCCCAATCAAACTTATATATAATACCCCCAACACATAGTGCTGTAGGGAATAAATATACGATTTATACAATTTGACTTTTTAAATTAACATACCCCATTTAATTGAAAAATGCTCATTTAATATTATTATATACAGGTCAATACAATATTATTATATACCCGTGTTTTTAATTCAAGGACAATACTTTCCACGTGTTGCGCGTGCGATATATTTGATAGCCCCAATTTAAAGTCTACCACAAACAGGGTTCCGATAGGGAATTCAGAAATTTTAGTCTAACAATTGTATTTTTTTTGTTATGTAGGGCAATTGCCTACTTATTTTTTGGGGAATGCTTCGAAAACTGTTGTTGGCATTGAAACAGCCTTTTTGGTTGGTTTTGTTAAAATAATCATATTTGACAAGTCGTTGAACTGCAAACCTTGAACTTGTAATAATTTATAATTAAATCGTATACGTTTTTTATATTTATAATAGAATAATCTGAAAGTTCAAAATTCCCATGGTTAGTCGTTTTAAATATGTATGTGTTTCTAACAAAAATTACAAATTATTGAAAAATTGTTGTGCCAAAATCAATAAATAAATACGGAATTACTTTGTTGCTCACCGAATGATTAAACAAGAATTACGATCTTGTTTTAATTCATTGTCAAATTAGAAAAATGTTTTGTATTACCAAATTCTCTGGGATTTATTATTTTCGAATTATTCCCACACGAATAAATATTTCAAACAAATTCGGCAAATGTAAGTGATATACACTTTGCCTACAAACGAAATGGTTTTACTATATAAAATATATCAGTTTTTATAACATAATATCTATATTTCCGGTTTTGTAAATTCCGCTGCTGTTTATGACAAAACATGATAAATACTCAATATTCCATAGACAGTTATTATATGACAATGAACTTATTTTTCTTTAGTACCGGTCATCGAAAAAGTTTCCATGCAAAGTTTCAGAGTTCGACTTTTCATTTCAAATATACAAATAATATAATAATTTCATTTACGTCAATTGCGGTTAAGTACCGCTTAGTTATGTTTAAATAAAAAAACTCTCCAATAAAAATTAAATCATTTGTTATTTTCCATTTTATACTACAAACCAGTTCCTTTCGGAAATACGTTTTTGTTTTAAATTTTTGTTTAAATAATTATAACAATTGAAAGCCGGTTTCGATCGGTTGTAGAATTAGAATTTTAAATTTGACATTATCCGATGATCTGTACTTAACTAACTGGATTGAAAAGTCCAAAATTTACAGGGGTATTGTACTGTCACATTCAGCACCAGAATTTGGGCGAATTTGTTTCCCAAATTGTCAACATAGGTCTAGGTTACGTATATCTTTCGTATAAAGATAAAGCTCCACTTGCGATATTTCGAATTTTTATTTACATTTCCATGTTTTTTTTTACATATCCTGAAAAGAAATCATGGAATTTTAAGACCGGAATTTAAAAAAAATCGTAAATATGTAAGGATTTATTTTTCAAATTAAAAATATTTTAGAAATTCTTTCAAGAACTTCATGCCCAAGAATTCTATTCTTTCAAGGACTTTATAATAACAAAGACTTTTGGCAAAAATAAATTTAAAATTATTGTTTTAGTACTTCCTGATAAAACTACTGTAAATTTAACAATAAAAAAGTTCGACATTTTTATTTATTTTTTTTCAATGACTTTGTAAACAACAATAGCGCATTCTTTTAGAATTTTAATTTTTAGATTTTTTTCACGATTTCGTGGATTATTTGAATTATTTAGTATCTTAATTGGAAGAGATTGCAAACCTGTTCTAAGGACATTCTGACAAAAAAAAATAATGTTTTTAAAATTTGTCCATGGTGATCCTGGACATAGGTAGTAGATATTTTGAAACTTCTCAAAAATACGTCCTGGACTTGACTCGTGGAGAATAGGTAACAAAAATTGTTAAGGTCTTCCTAAACACAAACCAATTTCTGATAATCTGTCTTTTCGCTTATCTACCAAAAATCGTAGATTATCTTCATTTATTTAAGAATTCTTGCCCAAATTTTTCTTTTTTTATTAATAAATTTAGAATCTTCCTGGTCCATTTTTCTAAATGATTAAAACTACAGTCTAGTGTTACTACCTGCCAGAAATCGTGAGCATGATGTAATACAAAAACTTTCTGAGCCAAAACATATTACAAATTATTTTTATATCCAACATCACATAGTGTTAAGGGTGTTGTCTTTGTGTATTTGTTTGGAGAAGGAAGTGAGATAGACCCATACTTTTGAGGATCTTCATAGAATCACTTTCTGAGTCGATTTAAGCATGTCAGTCCCTCCGTCCATGCATTCTTGTGAACAAAATTCAGGTCGCATTTATTATCCGATTCAGATGAAATTTTGCAAACAATGTTTGATTGACCCAAGGACGAACATTATTAAAATTGGTGATCATCGGATCAGATTTAGATATAGCTCCCATGTATATCTAAAACATCATAAGTCTAAATTTCCAGGGCAAATAAGTAGTGGATTTATTATTAAAAAATCTTTTTTAGAGACTTCCAAAAATTATAAAATTTTTAAAAAAAAATTCAATATTTTGTGTCTGAGATTTTTTTCAGAATTTGGCTAAAAGGACCGATCTTATTATTGAATTTGCCCTATAAAATATTTTTTAAGGACTTCCTTTAGAGCTAAAGAAACTCCCTTGCAATGAATGGTTAATATTTAATAATATATTTTTTCAAAAAGATCGTGGACAAAAATGACCAAAAATTGCGCATATTTTAAGGAAACCCACTTATTTTTACAATGTCAGCCGGACAGATTATAATTGTTTTCCGATTATTTTCCGGATAGGAATTATGGGTTTTGCAAAAGTATTTTTTTGGAATTGCCTGGACAAAAGCATCAGAATGTTGAAGGACATTCTAAAATTTTTTTTTAAATATTTCAAAAATGTTTTCTTGAATTTCCTTCTGAATGTTTTTTATACTTTCCGCCGTGCAGATCAGTCTTTTGTCTGCAGGGAGAAAAAGTTCGAAGATGGGCTATATCGGTTCATGATATCGTAGTACCCCCCATATTCTGTATTTTGATGATTTTAGCTACATTTTTCAATGGAAATGTCTGAAAATCTACACAAGGAGTTCCTTCTGAGTACTTCACCACCTGGAAGCGCTTGTATCTACGATATCGTATAGCCAACATACAACGGTTCCTCTCTTTATTGGGTATTCTGGGACATTGTTCACCGGAATGGTTTCAAATTTCGTAGTTTCGTAGCCGATGACAAAAGGAAAAAATAATACATATTCAGAGCTTCGTCCCCATATTTTTCGACAGAATTTTTTTGGAAACTTTTCCTTCCTTCAAAATGGTGGAGGGTATTAAAAGTTCGGCCTGGCCGAAATTAGCAGCTTTTATGCTTGTTGATATTTTAACACGTAATTTCTTAAAAATTATGTTTTGCTAATATATTAGCAAAATCGTGATCCAATCCTTTTTTAACATTTTCAAGGACCTTCTGACTGAATTTTTTTACAGGAACCTTGGGGCCCAGAACGATTATTTTGTAAAAATATTTGTCTAGTAATTTCTGAACAAAAATTAATTTTTTTTGTATATTTTCGAAAAACTACTGACCGATAATCTTTGTTTAAATTTAAGAATATTTTTAGAAGGTCTTCCTGAAATAAATCGTTAGTTTTTAAAGAATATTTTTAACAAAACCTTTTCAATAACGAATATTAACTTCTAAGTACAATATGGCTAAAATCATGAAAATATCGTTTACATGGAAGTGCCGTTATGTGGGAGCCATGTGCGGAACTCTGAAAGCAATTTTCGGTAATTGGAGGTGGTACCCATTATGAACTGTAGCAAAATTTTGGCAAAATTCATAGGGGTCATCTATCTTTTTCTTGCTCGAAAAATTTATTTCGAAATAAATGTGTCCATTTTGTTTAATATACAATTTACAGTAATTCCAATCAATTCACCCAAATATTTTTATTTTTTTCTTTCCTCATTTCAGATTTCAAATTCTACACTGTGCCGTCCACCTTGTTGCCTTTGTCGGCATTGCTTGGTTGCTGTGGTCGTTGTTGAAATTTATTTTTCTATCATAGTTTTAAGGCGTGACGATCCCCCTATGTTAAGTATGTTTTATTTTGAAAATATAGTTAAGGCGTTTTTTATTAACATCTTTAAGAATTTATAACAATAAACAATGTGTTTTTGGTTTTTAATGTAAATTTGTTTTATTTATATTTGCAAAAAAAAAATGAACGAATTAAATAATAATTATATTTTCTCTAGCGCTTTTCGTGTCATAAGTAGCCAATAAATTTCCTCAATATCCGTTGATTAACAAAGGGCAAACAAACCACTCGAAACGTAACTCGTCTCTCAATTAAATGTTGCAACAACACGTAATAGTAACAACAACACCAACAAATTTATTTAATTAAAGGTCAGTGTATTGAAAATTGCATAATACGGCCGATTACAATTCATGAATTATTTACCCAGGAAAGTCTTTATTTCCTTGGTTATATTTAACTTGTTTTGCTTTTGTGAGTTTCTGGGTGTTTTCTTGTTTCTATTTTGTTTTTGTGAACGATTTCTCGTGAACTCAACGAATGTAATTTATTCGAATTGTAATTGTTATCGTTTCGGTTGCTCATTGTTTTGTTTTATGGGAGCTGTTATAGTAATAAACTAATAATCCATCTACCCGAAGTAATAATTTAGAATTTTCTCGTTCCATCGCAATATCATCACAATAAATAAAGAGTCTAAGTAAAAAGTATTCCGATGCCGGTTTTAATACTAGATTTAATAATTGAAATTTCACAAAAATTATTGATTTAGAACCTGTTAATGACAATTATATAAAATTTGAATAGAAATGTATTAATTAAACAATATTTTGGGACCACAATGATAAGACATAGAAGTGAACTTTACCCATTGTGTGTACAATGTACTCGAATTGTAGGTAGACTTTAAGCACAGTGTTCCGATTCAAATAGTGACCTATAGAGCGACTGCAAGATCAGGAAAATTTATTTTTTGTTCCATTTGAACCAATAAATGTACATATTTTAGAACAACAGGCTTCAGTTTCGATCCAAATCCTAAATTTTGTGAATGTCGGACCTTAATTGCGACCTGTATACAATACCCTCAACACAAAGTGTTGCAGAGTGTAAACAAATAACTTTACAAAATGTAAAATTCAAAATAGTAAGTCAAACTAAAAAAATAGCTTGCGATAAAAATATGAAGAAAATTTAAAAAACAAGCAAGCAAAGGCTATAGTCGTGCGGGGCCGACTATGTTATACCCCACAACACACAATGTGTTAGAAGCCCCCTCATGTCCAAATCCATATTGGAGGTTTTCGCTTTTGAAATAAGGATTTTGACTAGGGACATTTGCTCAATATTAATGCACTCGGGCTGTTAGTTGTTGTGGTCCATTTTACAGCTAATCCAATGGTCATCCAAAATGCTAGAATTCTTCCCTGACCTTAACTCTCTTCACATGCGTGTCGATTGGCTTCAATTGTGTGATCGGAAAAACATTTCTGTTTTTGGTTAATTTGAACCCCTAAATATTTTGCAATTATCTCCAAAAGCCAAAAGCCCCTCTGTATCTCCAAATTTAGACTCATCTATTTGATTTGCTTGTCTACGATATTTGGCTATATTCGTCAACGAAATCAGCATAAACCAGTAAAGAAAGTCCTAAAGTCGGGCGGGGCCGATTTTATGATACCCTACACCACTTTGCTAATTTAGTTGAGCTCCACTTAATAATTAAAAGTTTTTATGGGAGAATTCAATCATACACGCTATGATTATAATTATAATTTAAAATTCAAAGGACTAAATATGCCGAAGCATTTGTATCTTTTAAATTCGGACTTGTATTGCCCATTTGGTGCGAAATTAATTTGAAATCGGATAAAAATATATATGGGAACTATATCCAAATCTGAACCGATCTCGATAAAATTTGGCAAAGATATTTTTGAGCTGTATTTGATATATTTCCCTGAATATCGTTGTTACGGAGTGCATATTACGGCTGTAGGTAACAAATACAACAAATCGGATGAACAATGTATATGGGAGCCATAGCTTTATCTGAGCCGATCTTCACCAAATTTGGCATACTACCTTCTAGACTAAATTCGGTCATATGTGCCAAATTCCATCCCATTTCGGACGAAGTTATATATGGGAGCTATATCCAAATCTGAATCGATCTCGATTCAATTTAGCAAAGGTATTTCTGAGCTGCATTTGATATATTTACCCAAATATTGTTGTTACAGAGTGCATATTACGGCTGCGGAGGACAAAAATCACAAATCGGATGAACAATATATATGGGAGCTATAGCTATATCTGAACCGATTTCGATCAAATTTGGCATACTTATTTTCATTTGGTTGTATGTGCAAAATTTCATACTATTCGGGCTGATATTACACGTTTGGTGCACAATGCATTCTGAGTCATTTATGCATGTCCATCCGTCTATCTGTCCGTCTGTCCATGTATTTTGTAAACAAAGTAGAGTTCGCATTTATTGCCCGATCCAGATGAAATTTTGCATAAATCATTTTTTTGACCCAAGGACGAACCTTATTCAAATTTGAGATAATCGCTCAAAATTTAGGTATGACTCCCATAAATATTTTCGTCCAATTTGCTTTATATTGTGCACCAAACTTGTAATATCAGCCCAAATAGTATGAAATTTTGAACGTACGACCAGATTGGTCCTGAAAATAAGAATGCCAAATTTGATCGAAATCGGTTCAGATATAGATATAGCTCCCATTTTGTATTGTTCTTCCGATTTGTTATTTTTGTCCTACGCAACAGTAATATGCAATCTGTAACAACGATATTTGGGAAAATATATCAAATATAACTCAGAAATACACTTGCTAAATTTTATCGACATCGCTTAATATTTGGATATAGCTCCCATATATAACTTTGTCGGATTTACGTGTGCTATTAGCCCAAATGGAATGGAATTTGGTACTTACGACCAAATTGAGTCTAGAAACCAGTATACCAAATTTGGTGGAAATCGGTTCAGATATAGCTATAGCTCCCATGCATATTGTTCATTCGATTTGTTGAATTTGCCCTGCATAGCCGTAATATGGACTCCGTAGTAACGATATTCAGGAAAATATATCAAATACAGCTCAGAAATATTTTATCGAGATCGGTTCAGATTTAGATATTGCTCTCATATATCTAACCGATTTCAAGTTAATTGTGCACCAAATAGATTATAAACGCTCGAATTGTAAAGGCGCAAATGCCTCGACAAATTAAGTAGAAATCGATTCAGAGGAGGATATTCCTCCCACATATTAGTTCCTTTGGGCTTTTACTTAACCATAGTTGGTATGATTTAATTCTCACAAATTCCCCATTAAAACTTTTATTTGTTATGTAAAGCTGTACTAAATGTGCAAAGTGGTGTAGGGTAGGATGGTGTAGGCCCGACGACTTAAAGTCTTTCTTTAGTGGTTTTACATAAAAGTTAGAGTCAATTTCACCCTCTACATGTTGTCCAATGAACGTCCAAATTGGTAGGCAAAAAATTTTTTGCGACTATCTCCAAAAACAATAGGCTCAACTTCGTAGATATCAGGACATAATTGCGACATGTAGCTTGATTACAAATTAACAGACGGACGGACGTACATGGCTAGTTCGATTCAGCTCGGCGAGATAGGGAGATACATATATAGTTTCCTGTGTCGGAATTCAATATTTCGAGGTGTTACATAATTTTTGGCCCTATCAAACTTATAATAACCCCAACACATAATGTTGTAGGGTAAAAATACCTACAAGTTTATTCAAAATCGATTAAGATTGAAATACAAATTCCATATTTTCCATCCGATTTAAGCCGCTTGCAAAATGTGCAAAATAAATAAAATAATTAATTTTTCAAAATGGGAGGTTAGATGCATACACGCGCCGATCTCCGGCGCATATAAATAAATGTGAAATTCAGAGATCAATACTCATTAAAATTAAAATAATAATATAATTTTTAAATTCAACATTTTCATGCATAATTGAGTGCAGTGCATAAATTTGGATCCTCATAAAGAAAATTTCGCAGACGACAATATTTGACCCGACCGGATTTATGCATTCTCAGAATAAGACATACCAAAAACCCGCTACAAATAGAGTTAGTTTTGAATATTAAATAAACTTTTCCATGTGTTATATGATTTTATGACTGGTCTATAATTGTTTTTTTTTTAACACAACCACTATTTCGAAGTTCTGTGTATTTTTTTTTTTCGAAATTAATTCAATCGATCAATACAAACAAACAACCCATAAATAGGTGAAATAATTAAACGTTTCCCGTAATGAGTCCAATAAAAACAAAACTAATTTTCAAACAAAAAAATGAAATAATTCAAGCGTGTTTGAGATACATGTTTTGAAATTAGCATAAATCATTGCGATATTAAGACACCGTATATTTCTACATAGAGACGGTGGGGAGGGTAGGTAAGACCACGAATCGAAATGTACACATCAATGAATCGAAAAGTACAAAGATCAAGAATATTGGGAATTACTAAATTCCGATTTTTTACAAATGTCTGTCTACATCGGGAATGGATGTTTACATACAAACAAACACACACAGTCAAACAACACAACGCCAAGAGAAGGAGTCCCGGGACGACAGCATGTATTAGCAGCAGCTCAGCCATCGGTTGGTCGGTCGATGGATCGATCGCTTGAAATCACAGACGACAAGCCAGCGACAGCGGTCAACTGAAGCTTCAGTAATGACGTCCGGCTGCCTGGCAGACTGGCTAATGCAACGCCAATGTTCGCTGTAGACAACTTACGCAAAATATACGAGCCGGTTTCAGTTCGAATCACAGTTAGGTTTCGGAACAAAAGTGCATATATAAGACGACAATTGAAATTTCATTTCTATTTGCCGTTTAGAACGTAGAGCGAGCAGTCTGCTCATTTCACTTTTCTTCCACTCCCGTCGCGGTACTCGGTCAAGTTGCGCATGCGTTATTTTAGAGACGATCAATTTCGTAATCTCACAAAACGTGAACAGAAAAAATTAATTTAATTGTTCCATTTGAAAAGAAAAAAAAAATTTTCTGTGGAAACTAAAAAAAAGAAATAAATAAAGTGGAAATATTGTAAAACGAAAAAAAAAAAAACAAAGTGTAAGAAAATATAAGAAAACCAAAGCAAAATGGTGAATAACATGCAGAATAATGCGTTTGAAACGGAATCAAAAATTCAAAGTTTTTTCCGCAACAAAAAAGTGTTTGTCACCGGCGGTACTGGATTTTTGGGAAAAGGTGTGTTCTTTCGACGATTTTTTTGGGGGTTTGGTCAAACCCCACAATAATTATAAATAGAAATATGTCATTTCTAAACAGTTGGCCTAGACTGGATATTAATTAAAAGTTTTGAAATTATCATCAATGATAACGTGCGGCCATAAAATATACAATTTTATTTAATTAAAAAATTAACATTTGAAACAAAGTGTCTGTGTTTTGTTTATTTTTTTTTTCTTTTAATATTAAACCTGAAACAACAAATTTTATGAAATACAGTTGAAATTGTAAAACAAATCAAGTGCTTTTAATACACAAAAAAAAAAAAAACTAATTGTTGAAAGAATGAAATTATAAAAAATTAATATTTTTAGTGGTTAAGTGCGTTTTGCTAGTTTAGAAACACTACACAAACTGTAAATATATTGTGTGAATCGGTTTGAATAACATTTTGAATTTCTAATTTCATTAATGAACGCATGAATTAAAAGAATATTAGAAAGGAACATCTGCTTCGTTTTTGGCCATATCTTCTAGAAAATGCAGCAAATATCAGCAAAATACCTAGAGAAACTGTTATAAACAGACTTTACCGATAGATTAATATTGCCATTAATTTTTAGAATTTTTGAGAACCTAAAATGGATAAATAAAAAATTGTGTTTAGAATTAATTCTACGTGCCTAAAATCACTTTAATTTTTTAATAAAACAAGATAATGTTCAATTATTTAAATATATTTTGACTTCTGTTATGATTATTCAAAAGATTGACTCTCTGTGGAGTAGGTTCCGAAGGAATGGGCCAAATATTGTTTATTTCGTATCGGACCTAAATAAATATGACATAAATATTACGACGTGCCAGGGCATGGATATTCAAAATTTTGACCCTTTGTGGTGAAGGTAACAGAAGGAGTTATTTCGATGAGGCACGTTTTGGCCGTATTAAATGACATATACCCTCTGTAGCCATAGGGTTAAGAGTATAAAAGGTTTGGACTGGGAACCCAAACCCCGTTTGGGATTTTGATTTACCAGCCGAATATTATCATCTATCTATAAATCTCTATAAGGCCCCCATTTAGCGTTACTTTCTGATTTTCGGTATTGTGAATGTTTTGACCACCATTTTAAACCCAATTATGCATGACTTGACATGTTGACAAAATCTCTGCCTGCTAAATTTTGTGAAATAAATCCACTACAAAATTAGTCATATATAACGGCACTTCCAAATGTTAGGTATTTTTAGAATCTCTGCCTGCAAAATTTTGATATTTAATTTCATACAAATTGGAACCTGTGCTTGGGAATAAACTTAGAAATTTTACGATTGTCTGTCTCTTAATCTTTTTTGTAAGATCTATAGACTCTTATTTGAATATTGATTATATATACATTCTTCTAATACTAGACTTAAATAAAAATAATTATTTATTTCTGTGGTATTTTGGTGGGGCATCGAAAGCCTCTAAAATTTTTCGTTACTTTACTTTCAGAGTGGTATAACTTAAAAAAGAGTGGTACAACAAATGGATAATTACAGAAAAAACTAAGTTGAAAGTAGAATACAAGTGTCTAGGCGTGTTAAAAGTTAACATCGCAAAGTGACCTAGATTGAATGGACAAGATTTCAAGACTTTTGGAAAAATTCGGATTTCCTTTTATTTCGAAATATGGTGTCTTCGGCAATATTACGGAAAACAATATGAGGATTATTTTGGTCGACATGTGAATCACGAAATTGGGCGTTTTTGTCTTTCTAAATATGGCTAAAAACTCCCTTAAAATAAGATCGTAGGGAATAAAAATATTCCCCGACAATATTTGTCATAAAATTCTGACCTCTATATCAAATTTTAGGATTTCATCTCTATTCCTACACTCAACGGCAAATTTAGTACCATTTTTTCGATCAAATGTAGTACACATTCCCAAAACCACCTTCATATCTTAACAGACAGACAGTTATATCTACATACAATTTAAGGATTTCAGATCTATTCCTTCATCCAGTACCCAACTTAGTAATACTTAGTAATTTTTGTACACTAACTCCATATATCAATTCTAGAAGATAGACTTCAATATTAGATTCCTGCTCTATCCTTAAAATCAATACCCAAAATTAGTACATTTTGGAACTTTATCCAATACCAAATATAGTACAATTCAGTACATTTCGTTATAATACATTAGAATTATAGTGCACATTTCCAAATCTAATTCGATATGTACAGTATAAATTGTAGTACAGTTTGCACAATTAGTACACATTTTCAAAACCACCCTCATGTGTCAAGCTTTGCAAACTTTTTCTCATACCAAATTTGAAGGTTCACATAACACCAAATGGTACCATTTTTGAAGTTCAGGGCAATTTTAGATATTTTCGTAGCTTTAAAGTTCGAATTTCCAAAAAACCGTTGGTACATCTGCACTTTGTGACTCTCGTTTGTCCAGTACAAAATATTAAAATTTTAGTACATTTTAGTACTTTTCGTACAATTTTAAAACGAATTTCCAAAAAAATTGCCTTATCACACGCCTACGCATCAAGTTTTGTGAAAATCTTTTCGAATTTTTCTGAAGTGAAATTATAAGAAAATTTGAAGTGAATTAGAAAAGAAATTCTAAATTTTTCCAAAATATAAAATTTTTATAAGCCAGAGTTGAGCATAATTTTTTTGGTACAGAATAAAAACAATTTTTTTGAGTCATACTAATAAATTTGATGTAAAATATTTCTACCTTTGGCCGTCTCCCCCAAAATATTAAGGATAATGGGAGATTTTGATTTGGAGACCTATTAATTAAGCATTAAAAATCTGAATTTTCTTAAAAATATTATATCTAAATATACGCTTTATTCCCTTGTGTAAAATATTTTCACGAAGAGATTTCTTTTTTTCCCTGACTTTTAAATTTGATGAGGAATATTTGTGTCTCTGACGTTATCCTTGTAAAATTATGCTTTGTGGGTGAAATGATTTTAATTTTTTCTCCATTTAAAATGCATAAAAAGCAGGAGTATAATTGGAAAATATGCAGTATGAAAAATCTACAAAAAAATATTGGTAGAGGTGATTGTTTGGTCAGTGTTAATTTTTTAATTAGATTGAAATTTTGCGTTGGCAATCATCGGATAGGAATGCCTCCGCTCAAAATATGTAACGATTCATTCCTATTTAAATGTTATTTGCGCGGATGTAATTGTAATTTAATTTTCCAATGCCTGATTTAGTTATGTTTGATAACAAGAACAAATTCAATAAATGTTGACTAAGAAATCCAATCGTGTAAATTGTTGTTTTATTTAAACAAACAAAATGGCTTAATATCTCATATCATTGCATTAATTTATTCCCTTAAGTTAACGTGGGATTTAAATATCTCAAAAACATGGTCATATAGTATATTGAAATAAAAACAAGTAAGCAAAGGCTACAATCGAGCGGGGCCGATCGTTGAATACCCTACAACACTATAATAAACGATACTGTTTATGTAGGCGAGATACTCGAAAGTATTCCACAAGATATTGTGACAAATTATAAAAGAAAACCATCAGGTTTCGTTCTCTTATTTTCGAATAATAGCAACTTAAACTAATTTGCACATTTCCAATTTATTGGTAGATGTTGCACGTAAATGGTCTTCCTAGATCTGGAAGCAATATTTCCCAAAGAACTATAATCTCTCAAAAGTGGCAAAAGATTAACATTTATTATTGGTTTTTGACTGAAACGCATCTATATTAGATGCAGACATTTGACTATATTCTTCCACGAAATCAGCGTTAACGAAATAGTCGGAAGTGAGTCTTTTCCTGTATTTGTGAATTCTCCAAAGAGTAGCTGGAATGGACATTTTCGTATTTTGTCTACAAAAGCTGGCAAACTATTTCACACATTGAATATTTTTGGATGGCCATCCAAAACTGCTTGGCTTTTGCAATGTCCGGTAACCCCCATTCAAATCTACGTGAGGATCGGGCGATAATTACGACCTGCTGACAATTCTGTAGGTTTTTGGTCCATTTCACCCCCAAAATTTATTGCGAACATCTCCAAAAAGAGTAGGCTTCTATTCTGACCCTCATCTTATACCCATGCAAAATTTCGTAAGGATCGGGCCATAAATGCGGTCTGTATGTGATATCCTGATATTCTAACTACTTAGTTTTGTTAGCTGTAGAAATATTACCAAATGTTTAATTCAAAATGAAAATATACCAAAAATATGACAAAATTGAAAAAATATGCGAAAATTTTACAAAATCAATATTTTCATCTTTAGAGAGATATTTTTATGAGATTTTTTTAGACGTTTTTCCTTTCCTGCCAAGAGGCCATTCTGATTTGATGAGAACTGTGGAAATCAGTTCAGCCGTTCTCGACATATAAGAGATTTTTCAAGCATATCTTCTTGGATAAACATATATATCGCACATATTTTGCTATATATCCGTTTTGTTGGATGTCAACATCAATGTAAAGATCAGAAGTAACCTTGTCATGGCTTTGTGATTTCGCCGGGATTTAAAATATTCGCGGTTTAATGAAAAATTTTGAATTTTTTCAACTCAAAAGATATGGTCTATTTTACCCGCTAAATATTATCCGATGACCGCCCAAATTGGTAGGCTTCTTCCCCGCCTTAAACTCTAGCTACATGCGAAATTCCGCGTCGATTGGTCTATAATTTCGACCTGTATAGCTACTGCAAAATCCGACATTTTTTCAGTATTTGGTCCATTTCAACCCTTAAACATTTGGCGATCATCTCCAAATGAAATAGGGTTCTATTCTGACCCCAGACCCACCTCCATTCTAAATTTCGTGAAGATCGGGCCATAATTGCGACCTGTAGCGTGATTACAAATTAACATGGACAGACGGACAGACGGACGGACGGACATACATAGCTAGATCGACTCAGCTCGGCGAGCTAGGAAGATCCATATATACTTTCCTATATGGGAAACTAATATTTCGAGGTGTTACATAAATTCTGGCCCAATCAAACTTATAATACCCCCAACACATAGTGTTGTAGGGTATAATAAATATAGTCGGAAATTTTAATTAAATACGATATAATGCAAAGAAAATATTAATAAATTAAAAATATTAGCTTTAAATTAAATACAGTAGGAAGTTTCAATTAAACGCGATATTATCAAATGTAAATATTAGTAATTATTATAATGCGATCAAGAGATTTACTTCATTAGATAATCGGATAGACATTAAAACGAAATTGACTTGTCTGTATTATCGTTACATGAAGGCCAATTGAATTTGGAATTAGAATTCTGAAGTCTCAGAATGTCAAATTAATGCATAATCTGTTGGCAAGCTAGCCAAGATTATTCTTTTTTTTAGTCAAGAAAATTAAATTGAGATGCAGTCTTTGAATATCTTGTTTCAGTCATATCGGTTCAAAAATTAAACATAAAAAATTAGCAACGGACGATTACTCTCAAATGGAATTCCAGATTTGGTCCTATTTCCCGAAAACGAAATCGATTTCAAATATGGGCAATATCGTTTCAATACTTCTGGTACCACCCCTATTAGAGAATTCTTGGTTTTGTATTTAATGAACACAAAAATTCATTACCTTGTCTTTTGAAATTATTCTTCAAGGAATAAGAATTTTTTCGAGAATTATTTGTGAACTTGCTAAGCACCGTGGATTTATTAAAAATATTTCTCAAAAACTTCGTAGCTGTAATCGAGCCTTTTTACATCATTTTTAAAGGATGTGGTCCTTATTTATTATATTTTTATTATAGATTATCCATTGAAGTCTAGCCGAACAAGATTCTTAATTTTTTTTAAATTATTTGTCAACAAATTCTTTGCCACGGATCGAGTTTTAAAGAATTTTCGGCTACGTAAAAATTTTCGATTTCTTAAATACTTAAAAAAAACCATAATTTTAGATATCTTTATTGAGATTTCCAGCCAAAAGATGTTTTTACAGAACGGACAGGCCTAAGTCGTCTTAGAATTTTGCGATGATCAAAACTATATATAATTTGTGGGGTTTTAAATCATAATTTCGATGAGTTACAAGCGGAATGACAAACTTAATATACCCTATGTAGAGGTTATAAAAATAGGTGGATAGGTCCGCAAGTATTTTGGTATTGAAAATGGACTATAAAAGTTCATGTTTTGGTATAGTCCCCTTATAATTGTACCGACAGATAATTGCTGTCAGATAATTACCTTTTGGGATCCACTTTTTCGTCTAGGTATTCGAATTTCTTAAATTATAGCTTTATTTTCCAAGGGTTATTTTACATTTGGCAGGTTCTTCTCAAATGGTGGAGGAGTTTTTTTATATTTTCAAATATCGTAGATTAAAAAAAAATATTTTTGATAGTGTCAATGACGAAAAAATGTGGATCTAAAAAATGACTAGCCAAGATTCTGGTATTCATAAAATTATATATTAGTAACATCTTCGATATTTTAAAAGTATTTTTCGAAGAGGGCCTTGTCAGGAGTCGTAAGAATTTTTAAAAGTATTCATTAAAAAAATGCTTTCAATATTTTTTATACCCTCCTCCGTAGGATATGTTATGTTTGTCACTCCGTTTCTAACACCTCGAATTATACATTTTAGACCTCACAAAATATATATATTCTTGATCAGAATAAAATTCTATGTTGACTTAGAAATGTCCGTCCGTCTGTCCATCTATCCGTCTGCGGGAATCACTCTAGCTTACGAACGAAGTAAAGTAGGTTGATAAAATTTAACTCAAATGTATATTATGTCTGCAGGACTTTTGGTTTTGAAAACGGACCATGTAGGTCCTCGTTTTGGTATAGCACCCATATAATGGTACCTCCCTATATTCGGTATTTTGGTGATTGTAGCGACATTATTCACCGGAAACGTTTCAAATTTAATATTTAAAGTTCGTAATAGATAATTCAGCCTACGACAGAAAATTGTCTGTGCAGGCCCCCGCTTTCGTATAGCCCCCACATAACGGCACCTCCAGATATTCGGAATTGTGATGATTGTAGCGACATTATTCACCAGAGTTGTTTCAAATTTGCTATTTGAAGTTCGTAATGGATACAACAGCCTAAGACAGAAAATTGTCTGTGCAGGTCCACGTTTTGGTATTTTGATGATTTTGGCTCCATTATTCACCGATTTATGACAACACCTGCCTTTCCACGTCGTCGTATAGACCCAAATATAACGGCTATATTAGGTATTTTTAAGATTTTAACCCATTTTTGACAATTTTTTTTTTGAAAATTGCCAAATTCGTGGAGGGTATTCAAAGTTTGAATATTTTGAAGAACTAATTGATGTTCCTGAAAGTAGTGATTTTTAGTAAAACAAGGAAATTCCAAAAAAAAAAAAAAAAAAATAATAATAATAATAATAATAATAATAATAAGATTTCGAGAAATATAAATTCATTTTTTTAATAAAAAATCCATATGTCTTGTCGCCCTTGAAATGCGAAATATTAAATTATTTAATTTATAGTTGTATCTTTGTTAATCATATATTTGTTTATTATTTTCCTAATAACCTTTCCTTGCTATTTCTCTTTTAGTATTCATTGAGAAGCTACTGCGTACCACAGATGTTGGACGGGTTTATGTGCTGGTTCGTGCCAAACGTGGCACTACTGCCACAGATCGTATGAAGAAGATACTGGAAGATCCAGTAAGTTGATGCTTTTTATTTTCCATAATTCAATTTATTAAAGTTAAATAATTTGAAATTCCTTAGCTCTTTGAAAAATTACATGAGTTGCGGCCGAATCCCATGAAATATATCAAAACCATTGAAGGTGATTGTACTTTACCCAAATTGGGTATTTCCGCTGAAGATCGCAAAGAACTAATCGACGAGGTAAATGTGGTAATGCATTGTGCGGCGACGGTGCGTTTCAATGAACCCCTCAGCAATGCAACACAAATCAATGTGGCAGCGACTCAAGATCTTCTGGACATGGCCAAGGAAATGAAGAATTTGAAGGTGAGTATTGAAAAAGAAAAATTAAAAATAGATTAAAATATCTAGATGTGATATTGATTTCAATATTTCCAGTTTGTTTTTATACAAATAATTTGGTCTGTATAATCTACTAGTTTGGCAATTTTTTTTATAAAATAAGTTTTAAATCAATTAACGTAGTAAAAACTTTTACATTCAATAACTCGTTTCCGTAACAGTGAAATCAAATGAATTCGATTGAATTAATGTTCATTGCATTGCGATATTTTTCGAAATTTGTTTACATATGCGTGGTTTGGTAGTATCAATTCCGAATTTGTTCTCTTCGAATTTTGTAAAAATTATATTTTTCATTTTTTTTCAAATTTGTATTTCAGGCCTTCGTTCATGTTTCCTCGGCTTTCGCCAATTGTGTTGTCATCGATGCCGAAGAGAAATTCTACACGGAACATTTGGGTATAACCAGTGAAAAGTTGCTGAGTCTTAAAGAAAGACTAGGAAGTCAGGCTTTGGATGCAATGGAAAAAGAATTGGTTGGACAATTCCCCAACACTTATTGTTACACCAAATCAGTGGCCGAAGAGGCAGTGCAAAAATGTGGCAACTCTATACCAATTTGCATATTTCGACCAGGAATAAGTAAGTATTAATAACCTTGATCGGAAAATTTACCATAAATTACAATAAAAACCAAGTAGATTATGAAAGTAACAATTTTTTCACATTGTAAAGTTCACATAAAATACAGGCCAAGTTCACCCCTCTTCAACATTTTTTATTAAATCTTTAGCATAAAATTCTTTGAATACCGTTCAAAGTCTTTGGCAATATTACTAATACTGCAATTATTTTGGTTGAAAATTGTTAACTTTCAAGGGGTCTTTTTGGTGTACTATAAGTCCAAGACAACATCTTTCCAAAAATCATACCTAAATGACTGAAATTCGTAAATATGTAAATTCAATTTAGGGTTTAAGTCGTATTGGATGTGAATTTGTCCAAAAATCTTCTACAAAGCATCATTCCAGAGAGAAGATGAAAGACAGAAAGATTTCTCATTGAATTTCACTTTGAGGCAAATCAATATTTCCATTATATGTCAAGAAAATATTTGCATTCAATTAAAAAAAAAAAAAAAAAAACACTCAAAATTACTTCCAACTTTTTATGATTTTTTTCTTGGAGATGCTGATAATTTAACAAGTCTCCATTCTACGCCAAAATCTGGTTTAATACTTCATCTCTTGGGGAAAGTTTCAAAGTTTTATGAAAAACCATTTTTATTCGAAAAAAAATATACTCCTTCCGAATTTGTTGAAAGATTTTCTAAAATTTCAGTGATCAATAGTCAGTTTGTGTGAAAAATTCCAAGGGGACTTTTGATTTCCCAAGCCAGAGTTTTGTTTTCTCAAGTAATTTTTTTTTAACTTTGACCATATACAAAGGACCCCAATAATTGAAGCTATCCTTTGCAAAATATGAAATGGAACTTTAGAAATTTTCAGAAAAGAGTTAAAGAAAATTAAAATTTCGATAATTTAAAAAAAAAAAAAAATATTTGTTTAAAAAATGGGTCACGTCGGACCACTTTTTTTAAGAGCCCTGATATGACGTATAATCCACGTTATGTTAATATAAGCCATTCAATTTGGTATTTTAAGTTCTTATTATGCAGAAATCCTACATGTTAATAATGTTCAATATAGGTGCATGTTTCGATAGATCCCTTGTTTAAAAATATCGCTTTCCTATACCAAATGTCTTCATTTCACCTTCATACATTTATCCACAAGAATATTGTAAGAAATTTAGTACCATTCACACTTAGTGCTCTTTTCGAAAACTATCTCCTAATATGCATATACTGCATATACTTGTTACTCATAACAACTTTGAACATTTTACTTCTTTCCGCTCACATAATCCCAATGGTACGCATTTTAGTACTTTTAGTACACTTATTTCTCGGAATTCCACCAACAATTTGGTTCGTTAAATATCCAAGAGCCTCATTCCAAATTTCAGATTTTCAGCTTTTCCGTTTCTCAAAAACTAAGCTTATGACTATTCAGTACTCTTCGTTTTTTTTTTCAGTATGTATTTCAAAATTTATCCTCATAAAACAAGCTCGCAAACAGGGATCATAATACCAAATAGTAGATTTTGAACATTATTCCTTCCCCAAATAACGAATTTGGTATCATATAGTATTTTTAGATATCCACCTCTATTCCTTTCCAAACACTAAATTAAGGACCATTTAGTATTTTCCATACTTTTTTTTCGGAACCACCTCTAGATCTCACCTCTCATTTCAAAATCCAGCTCCATCCAATTAGTAATATTTAATGGTTCCATATCCAATTTTTCTGGCCAAAATATTTCAAAGTCTTTCCAAAATAAAAAATTGACCACGTCCATATCTAAATCCTAGAAACCAGACCTCAATATGAAATTTAAGAATTCTAGTTCTATCCTAAGACCCGATCCTAAATTTATTACCATACTTTTCGCACAGTTATACTACTCATGCCCAAAACCACATCCTTCTCTACACCCTATATACCAACTATAAAGGATTTTTTATACATCCTAACACCCAACGGCAGATTTTGTGGTATTTTGCACTTTTTGTACGTTCATACTATGAATTTGCAAAATAACCTCCTTCTCTCAACAACAAACACCAACAGCGATATCCATATCAAATTTCATGATTTCAGCTCTTCACCCAATACAAAAATTTAGTCGAAATTATTCATTTTTCAACCTCAACTTCAGATAACAAGAGTGACCCCCATTATTAAATTTAGTACCATTTAGTACAATTATGGTACGCTTGACCAAACCTAGCTTCCTATCACAACCACAAAAACCAATTTTGAAATTCAGGATTCCAGCTCTGTTATCTTCACCTAATAACAAATTTCAGGATTTCAACTGTATCTTTTTACTAATATTAAACTTAGTAACATTTATTCATTATTCAAAAAAAAAAAAAAATCTCCATATCTCAACCTCAGATACCAACAGTGACCTTAATATCGAATTTCAGTGTTTTAGTTTTGTAATATCCCCATTACCAAAATCCCATTACCAAATTTAGTACTATTTAGTACAATTGTAGTACACATTTTCAAAACGTCCTCCATATTTCAACAACGGATACAAACTGAGACCCTTATATCAAATTTGAGAATTCCTGCTCCATTCCTTCACTCAATACTCAATTAAGTATCATTTATTACTTTTCGTACAATTATAGTAATCATTTCCAAAACCACCTCCACAGCTCACTTACATTTACCAACAGATATCTGAATATCAAATTTAAGGATTCCAGCCCCAATCCTCCACCCAATACCAAATTTTGTACCAATTTAGTACTTTACGTACAGATATAGGCTCCTTTTTAAAACCACCAGTAAATCTCAAACTCAGATATCAGATTTCAAATAACTAAATCAAATAATCTATGCATCAAATTTCGGGATTTTATCTCCAATCCTTCACCCTGTACCAAATATAGCACCATTTAGTACTTTTCGTATAATTATAATGCATATCTCCGAAACCACCTTCACATGTCCACAACAAACCACTTTCATATGAAAAGCGACCCTAATGCCCAAATTTCGGATTTCAAGCACTATCTTTTAAAAAAATAGCAAATTGTACCAAATATAGTACTATTTGATACTTTTCGTACATTTATTGTACACATTTTCAAAACTACCTCTTTATCACAAATTTACCCCAATACAAAACTTCGAAATCCAAGCTTAATCCGTTCAACCTAAGATAAACTTTTCCAAATTTAGTACCATTTAGTAAAGCTCGCAAACCTTGGTACGCATTTCCAAGACCACCTTCATGAATAAAACTTACTTACCAACTTTGATTCTCATACAAAATTTCAAGTTCCATCCATTTCCCTTCACATAATACCAAATGGTACCATTTTAGAAGTTTTCGTAACCATAAAGTTTGAATTTCCAATAACACTTTGTTACATCTATCATGAACTCCATCAGTGACTCTCATTTCAAATTTCAGAATTCTAGCTCATTCCTTTTGTCCAATACAAAGTATTCAATTTTTAGTACATTTCGTATCGTTAAGTACGAAACCAAAAACCAAACCTTATCTCATCCCTACACACCAACATTGATCCTCATGAGAAATCTCAATATTCTCAGTCTGTCATCACTCAATTCTTAAAAGTGTAAATGGTGAAAAGTTATATAGCTAATTCTTATAACAATCATCTCTTTGTAGTTTTAGCCGTAAGTGATGAACCTATACCAGGTTGGGTCGACAATTTATATGGACCCAACAGTATTGTCTATGGCTGTGCTTATGGAGCGCTGCGAGTGATGTATGCCAGGCCGGATCAAAACGCTGCCTATGTGCCTGTGGACTATTGTGCCAACATGATGATGGCATGTGCATGGGAGACGGCCACATCCATTATACAGAAGTAAGTATTAAATGGAAAACAAGCAAAAGCTGTAAGTTCGGCCTGGCCGAACTTTGAATACCCTCCACCAGTCGGAACGAATTTGGCAATTCTCAAAAAAAATAAAATCCTTTAAAAATTCTCTTAAAATCTTAAAAATACGGAATGTAGCTGCTATATAAAAGTCTATACGACGACATGGATCTGCATAGGTAATTTTTGTCATAGGCCATTACAATATTCAAATGTGAAACTTAAAAAAAGATCACTGAATAATGTAGCTGGGGGCTATACGAAAACGTGGACCTGCACAGAAAATCGCCTGTCATAGGCTGTAGCATCCATTACGAACTTCAAATACCAAATTTGAAACAATTCCGGTGAATAATGTAGCTAATATCATTAAAAAAATACCGAATATCGGGCGGTACCGTTACATGGGGGCTATACGAAGACGTGGACCTGCACAGAAAATCGCCTGTCATAGGCTGTAGTATCCATTACGAACTTCAAACACCAAATTTGAACCAATTCCGGTGAATAATGTCGTTAAACGCATCAAAATTCCGAATATCGGGAAGTACCGTAACATGGAGCTATATGAAGACGTGGACCTGCACAGAAATTTTTTTGTCATAGGCTATAGCATCCATTACGAACATCAAATACTGAATTTTAAACAATTCTGATGAATAATGTCACTAAATTCAACAAAGTACCGAATATCGGTAGGTACAGTTATATGGGAGCCATACGAAGACGTGGACCTGCACAGACAATTTTCTGTCATAGGCTGTAGCATCCGTTACGAACACCAAATATCATATGAAACAATTCCTGTGAATAATGTCGCTAAATATAGGGAGGTACCGTTATATGGGCACTACACGAAGACGTGCACCTACATGACCCATTTGCAATACCAACAGTCCTGCGGACATAATATACATTTGAGTAAAATTTTATCAATCTACTTCAATTCGTTCGGAAGCTACAGTGAATTCGCTAAATCGCTAAATCGACATAGAATTTTATGCTGATCAAGAATATATATACTTTGTGGGGTCTAAAATGTATATTTCGAGGTGTTACAAACGGAATGACAAACTCAATGTACCCTCCATACTATGGTAGAGGGTATAAACATTTTTTTTTAATAATTTTAATTAATTAATTTTTTAAATTAATATTTTATTAAAATATTTTAATAAATCGTTAAATGTTATTTGCAGTCCACCCAAGGAGCCCCGCATCTACACGTTGGTGCCACACAAAAACAATGAATTGGACTGGGGCACCTTCAAACATTATGCCGTCGAACATGGTTTCAAAATGCCTTTGCCTAACATGATCTGGTATCCAATGCTGCTGTTTGCCGAAACTTACATTGGATATAGTCTACTCACCCTAATTTATCACACCTTGCCGGGATATTTGATTGACTTGGTTCTGCTGTTAATGGGTAAACCCATGAGGTAGGCAATTTCTAATTACCATAAAGAAATTTATATTTATCCCCCAAATTTTGTATCCCTGGTAGGATGACCAAGACCTATAAGAAGATTCACAGCCAGTGTGCCATGTTGCGTTACTTTTTGGCCTTTGATTTCACCTTTGACATGAAGAATTGTTACAACCTCTGGGATTCAATGTCGCCGGAAGATCAAAAACTGTATAACTTCGATATGGCCAATTTGGTGTGGAGTAAATATTTCTATGACAATATATCGGGTATGCGAAGATTTGTGGCCAAACAGGATCCCGCATCAATACCAGAGGGCAAGAAGAAGTTGAAAATGTAAGTGGGGTAGTTTTCTGTTTCCGAATTTTTTATTGTAACGTGCTTTTTGTATTAATTTTCAGATTCGGCACCCTTAACATCATTGTCCATGTTTTGTTTATTGGCGGATTCTTGTGGCTGACATGGAGTCTTTTAAAATTCATTTTCCTGTAGTTCCTAAATGTAATTAGTTATCTTGTAAAAAAAATACGAATCATTCGAGGTGTTCCTTTCAGGGGTTATATTCATATTTCATAACCATACTTTAGTTAGTAAGAATCTTAGAAAAATAATTAAAATAAAAAAATAATTTATAAATAAAATAAATTGCTTTTTATATACATCAGAAGTTGAAAATTATTTTTATTTATACACTTGTACTCTAGCAAATGCCAGCTACTTCGTATGCGGAAAAATGAATTTATGTTAAGTGAATTTATGCGGGATTTTTTTTACACCAAATAGTTAGTATTTAATTACAGACCTCTATATCTTAATTTTAGATTATAAATTCATACATATATACAAAATGGTACTTTCCGTCTAATAACTTTCTGAAAATACGTAAACTAATAAAAGAAACTTGGTATTTTTCCAAAGACTCCCATTCCAAATTTCAGATCCCTAACCCAAATTTAATACCATTCAGTAATTTTCGTACTTTTTGCTATGTTTATATACCCTCCACCTTAGTATGGAGGGTTTACTAAGTTTGTCATTCTGTTTGTAACACTTCGAAATATGCATTTTAGGCCCCACAAAGTATATACATTCTTGATCAGCATAAAATTCTATGTCGATTTAGCGATGTCCGGCTATCCGTCTATGTAAATCTCTCTAGCTTCCGAACGAAATGAAGTAGGTTGATAAAATTTTACTAAAATGTGTATAATGTCTGCAGGACTTTTGGTATTGAAAATGGATTATCTAAGTCCACGTTTTGGTGTAGCCCCCATACAATGGTACTTTCCTTTTTTCGTTTTTTTGGTGGTTTAAGCGACATTATTCACCGAAAATGTTCCAAATTTGTTATTTGAAATTCGTAATGAATAGTACAGACTATGACAGAAAATTATCTGTTTAAGTCCACGTCTTCGTATAGCCCCCATATAACGGAACCCCTCGAAATTCCGTATTTTGATGATTTTAGCGACATTATTCACCGAAAATGTTCCAAATTTGTTATTTGAAATTCGTAATGAATAGTACAGACTATGACAGAAAATTATCTGTTTAAGTCCACGTCTTCGTATAGCCCCCATATAACGGAACCCCTCGAAATTCCGTATTTTGATGATTTTAGCGACATTATTCACCGAAAATGTTCCAAATTTGTTATTTGAAATTCGTAATGAATAGTACAGACTATGACAGAAAATTATCTGTTTAAGTCCACGTCTTCGTATAGCCCGCATATAACGGTACCTCTCGATATTCGGTATTTTGATGATTTTAGCCACATTATTCACCGGAATTGTTTTAAATTTGGTGTTTGAAGTTGGTAATGAATACTACAGCCTAATACAGAAAATTGTCTGTGCAGGTCCACGCTGCCCCAATAAAACGGTACCTCCCGATATTCTGAATTTTGATGATTTTAGCTACATTATTTATTTTTTATTCAAGTTTCGCATTTGAATACTGAAATGGTTTATGACAAAAGTTGCCTATGCGGATCCTCATCGTCGTATTATAGACCCTAATATATAACGGGTTATTAAGAGATTTCAACAGGATTTCTAACGGTTTTTTATACCCTACACCACAAGGTGTCTTTGTGCATTTGTTTGTAACAGGCAAAAGGAAACGAGATAGACCCATAGTTCCTTTTGATGATCTGCATACAATCACATTTTGAGTCGATTTATGCATGTCCGTCCGTCCGTCTGTCCGTCTGTCCATGTATTTTTGTAAACAAAGTACAGGTCGCATTTATTGCCCGATCCAGATGAAAATTTGCACAGATCATTTGCATGGCCCAAGGACGAACCCTACTGGAATTGGATATAATCCGTCAAATTGGAGATAATCCGTCAAAATTTAGATATAGCTCCCATATATATCTCCGTCCGATTTGCCTTTTATTGTGCACTAAACGAGTAATATCAGCCCGAATAGTATGGAATTTTCCACATACACCCAAATTACGCCTAAAAATAAGTATGCCAAATTTGATCGAAATCGGTCAGATATAGCTATAGCTCCCATATATATTGTTCATCCGATTTGTTATTTTTGTCCTCCGCAGCCGTAATATGCACTCTGCAACAACAATATTTTGGGGAAATTTGGAATTTGGCACTTACGACCGAATTGAGTCTAGAAGCTAGTATGTCAAATTTGGTAAAGATCGCTTCAGATATAGCTATAGCTTCCATATATATTGTTCATACGATTTGTTATATTTGTTACCCACAACCGCAACACATGTCCGAATTTAAAAGACACAAATGCTTCAGCATATTTAGTCTTTTGAACTTTAAATTATAATTATAGTCATAGCGTGTATGATTGAATTCTCCCATAAAAACTTTAAGTGTTATGTGGAGCTCTACTAAATTAGCAAAGTGGTGTAGGGTATCATAAAGTCGGCCCCGCCCGATTTTAAGACTTTCTTTACTGGTTTTTGTTTAAAAATTGTCAAATTCTTACCAATTGGTGGAGGTTATTCAAAGAACGGCCCGGCCGAACTTACATCTTTTTCACTTCAGAATCCATTTCCATATATTAACCCCATCTCACAAAAAGTGACCCTAACACCAAATTTTAGAATTCCAGTTCGATCTCTTATTTATACATCAAAATTTAGTACCAGTTAGTACTAGAACAGAAATCTTAATATCAAGTTTTAGGGTTCCAGCCATTCCGGTTCACCTAAATACATATTGTACCAAATTTGGTACCATGTTGTACACATAAGTACATAAGAATTTCAAACATTTCGTACATATCCTTGTCCTTCACTCCAACAGAAATCTTATTTTCAAATTTTAGGGTTCCAGTTCGAATGGTTCGTCAAAATCCAAATTGCCCCAAATTTAGTACCATTTAGTACACAAAGGTAGGGATTTCCTACATACCTTCCTACATACCTCAATTCTACATCTCCACAGTAATCCCAATTCCAAATTTCAGGATTCCAACCCCATCGGTTCGCCCAAACTCAAAATGTACCAAATTTAGTACATTTTTGTACAAATAAGTACAAATTTTCCAAACTACCTACATAACCCAATCCCAAACTCCGACAGTAATCTTACTTCCATTTTCAGGAAAGCAAAAGCAAAGCAAATTTCCAAAATTTTCTACATAACCCGATCCCAAACTCTGACAGTTATCTTATTTCCAATTTTCCGGATACCAGCTCTATTGGTTAACCCAAATCCAAATTGTACCGGATTTAGTACCATTTAGTACTCTTAAGTACAAATTTTCATAACTTCCCACATCATAAAGTCCAATAGAAATCTTATTTTCAAATTTCAGGTTTCCGAAAATTTAAATTGTGCAAAATTTAGTACCATTTAGTACACATATGTACGAATTTCAAAAATTCAATTTTTTAGCTCTAACCGTTCATATGATACCAAATGTAGTACATTTTAGTACTTTTCGTAACCCAGCTTTATATGACCCCTACGGACCAAAAGTGCCTCTAGAATATTTTGATTTGCTACGATCTCATTAAAAACGAGTTATGAGCCATAGTTTCAAAAAGGCAAAATCTTTTTTGTGGGTAAAATTGTCGACCAAAATAATCCTCCCTCATCTTCATTATCTACTGATGTTTTCCTGCAATTATGAAAAAGTAATCATTTTTGGCACAGTGTTACCATTTAAATGTACATCAAAAGCAGCAAAGCACCATTTTTGCTTCAAATAAATATTTTATTAAATCGAACGCAAATGAAGGAAAATCATAAAAAATCCAACTTTCAACTATAATGTGGTCTCCTATGCGCATCCAAATGATGACGCAAACGTCCCAGACGATAACTGGGCAATGGTTTCCAAATACTGGGCACAGCCCTTGGAGTTCTTGGTGAGGCCGCAAATTGATTGCCAACATCGGCATTCGCGAATGGTGACAATTTTGTATTATCACCACGGGGTGAACATTTCCGTCCCTGATGATTGAGTCGGTAATTGCTAAGTATCAAATGATCCATTCGATGATTTTGTTGTAGCGGAGTCCGAGGAGAGACACCATCGCAACTTATAATGCTCGCATCCAGTGAGGGCGAGATGCTATCCAAATCGACTTCGTCAATAATTATGGTCATCGAATTGGAGGGAGTACTTGTCTGCAATTGTCGTTGTTTAAAGTTCCTATGCAAGAAGCTATCGAAACCATTGTCACTGTCCGCACTGTAGCGGGAATTATTGGAGTCCATTTTCTAAAATTTATTTGAAGGAATTTGAATATATTTTTTTGTTGTGTTCAATTTTGAATAAAACATTACCCGATTATTTATTTATTTTTATTGAAAAATATGTATTTTTTTATTTTTCCATGTCAAACTTTCGCTTCTTTAACGTTTGTTTATTATCTGCTTTCATCTACCGATATTGAGGTTAGACTAGTACAAAACATAAGTTACAACGCAAACGTCAACGCACTATTATGTAGGTGTTTAGCAATAAGGTTGGGCATCGCAATATTAGCCCTGTCTGTTTACATTTTACAGATCTGACTGACTGACTTAACGACTCATCAACGACCAGAAGAAACGGCTGAAGCTAGAATCTTGAAATTTTGAGCAAGGGCCTCTCTTGGTTCAAAGGTGTCAGATAAGGCTTAGTTTATGGAAATTCGTACTAAAGCGTTATGAAAAGTACTAAAAGGTACTAAACATGGTATCCTTTGTAAAGCTAGACATCTTAAATTTGAAATTAAGTTCATCGATGGAGTGTATGATAGATGTTCCAAAGGGTTTTTGGAAATTCACACTATAAGTGTACGAAAAGTTCTAAAATGTACTAAATTTGGTACCATTTGGTATTTGGTAAACGGATAGATAAAAAAAACCTGAAATTTGTAATGGTAATCAAGGTTGAGCTGTATGGTCGATGTAAGGAGGTAGTTTTGGAGGTGTGTACTCATGTATACGAAAAGTACGAAACAGTACTAAATTTGGTATAAATAGAATTTAGAAAAAACGATGGGAGCTGGAATCCGGTGTAGAATTGGGATATTGAGGTAGTTTTCGGAATTTGTGCTTATAGCACGAAAAGTACTGAATGGTACTAAATTTGGTACAATTCAATTTTAGAAGAATCGATAGAGTTGTAATCCTGAAATTTGGAAATAAGATAGCAGTTGTATTTTATGATTTGATTATGTACGAAGTTTTGAAAATTCATATTGATATGTACTAAATGGCACTTAATTTGGTACAGTTTAAATTTTTAAAAAACCTGTAGAGATGGAGTCCTTAAATTTGGAAATAAGATTTCTATTGGATTGGGTGAACCAATAGAGCTGGTATAAAGAAATTGGAACTAAGATCACTGTCGGAGTGTATGATTGGGATAAGGAAGTAAGACTGGAAAGGTGTACTTATATGTACTAAAATTTACTTAATTTTGAACAATTTCGATTGGGGTGAACCGACGGAACTGGAATCCTAAAATTTGAAATTGAGATTTCCTTTAGAGTATTAGGACATGTAGAATATTTTTCTGCAATATTTTGATGCAATTAGCATTTGGACGAACCGATAGAACTGCAATCCTGATATTTGGAATTAGGATTTAGATTGGATTGAATGATGCAGGTTCTTGTGATATGATTAAGGTATGTAGGAAATTCGTATTTGTGTTTACTAGTCAGTTTTTTTGTTCGTAGGAGCGTGATAAGCCTGGGTTTTGGAAACTCGTACTCAAAGAGTACGAAAATGTACTAAAATTTTAAAACTTTGTATTGGACAAACGAAATGAGCTAGTATTTGGAATAAGACTCACTAATGGGTTGCAGAATGATTTGAGTTTTTTGAAATTTGAACTTTAAGGTTACGGAAAGTTCTAAAATGGTACCATTTGGTAATATGTGTACGGATAGAGCAAAAAACTTGATATTTAGTATTAGAATCAAGGTTGGGAAGTAAGTTCGATACATGAAGGTGATATTGGAAAAATGTACTACTATGTGTGAGAACTGTACTAAATGGTACTAAATTTAGAACTGTTTACTTTAGGGTGAACGATGGAAGCTGGCATTTTGAAATTTTGTATTTTGGATTGACAATCACTGATGTAACAGAGAGTTTTTGAAAGTTCGAAATTTAAGGTTATGATATGGTACAATTTGGTGTGAGAATCAAGGTTTGAAAGTAAATTTGACATATGATTGTGGTTTTGGAAAAGTTTACTAAGTGTGAGAACTGTACGAAATGGTACTAGATTTACAACAGTTTGATTTGGGGTAAACGGAATTTGGAATTTTCAAAATTTTTATTGGGGTCCCTTTTGGGGGTAGGTTTGTGAAAAGAAGTAGTTTTGAAAATGGTACTACAAGTGCATAAAAATAACTAAATGGTACTATATTTGGTACAATTGGGTATTGATTGAACAGGCAGTGCTTAAAATCTGAAATTTGATATTAGTGTTGCTGTTCATGTGCAGCCTCGACATATGGAGGTGGTTTCGGAAACGTGTACTATAATTACACGAAAAGTACTAAATAGTACTAAATTTTGTATTGGTTGATGAAATGGGGCTGATATCCTCTTGGAGTCACTCTTGGGGTCTGTGATTGAGCGAAGGTGCTGGATATGCGTACTATAATTGTACTAAATGGTACTAAATTTGGTAATGGGTGAAACTATTAATAATATATTATTATTAATATATAGTTCTATATTTGGTAAAATCTGGGTTTACAGATAGTGTTTGCGATCTGAAACTTGTAATTAGGGTCGCTATCCATGTGTAGTTCGGGTGGTTATCTATGTAGATGTTGAGGTGGTTTCAAAAATGTGTTCTATACTAGTACGGAAAGTACTACATTGCACTAAGTTTGGTTTTGGGCGAAGGGATTGGGCTGGAATCCTCAAATTTGATATTAGGATTTCTGTTGGTATCTGGAATCAAGATATGGAGGATGTTTTGGAAATGTACGAAAAGTACTAAGTTGTATGAAACTTGGTACTGGGTGAATGGAGAGGACTGGGATCCTCAAATTTGGTATTCAAATCTCTGTTGAGATATCCAAGGGTTTGGAAATGTGTACTATAATTGTACGAAAAGTACTGAATGGTACAACATTTGGTATTGCGTGAAGAAATAGAACTGACATCCAGAGATTTGATATATATATTCCTATTGGTGTCCGTGGTGTTTTGGATATGCATACTATAATTGTACTAAATGTTACTAAATTTGGTAATGGGAAAAATTATAGAGCTTAAAAAGCGAATGTTGCTCTGCGGTATTTTGGCCCATTCCCGGCGAAGATCTATCTAAAGGTGATCGACACTTTGGTATTTTTTAGTGCCAACCTTGCTTTCCAAAATACTCCAGACACAATAGTCCAACGGATTGGTTCCCAGAGATTTTGGTGGCCATTGTGCGCTGGAAATGAAGCGAGGAACCTCATTCTGTAATCATTCTTGAGTGGCGAGTGCTGAGTCCTGTTGGAATGTCCAAGGTCAGCGGCCAAAATGTTTTCGGGTTCAAGCCATTAATACACCCTCCAGAATATTTTCGCTATAATATTCGGCATTTATTCTGATGCCACGGTCGATGAATACGAGCGGAGAGCGACCATCGGCTGTTATGGCGGCCCACACCATCATCATTGCCGGGGCTTGAGTTCTGGTGGCCAACCGAAGGTACACATTTTCAGCTGACCTCTTTAGCAAGTAAACACGATCGTTTTGTTAGTTTACGGACAACGAATGTTTTCTCATCGGAGAGAACCAAATTCGGTAGTTCACAACTTTTGGCCAAGCGAAGCAACTCTTTAGCTCTTTTGAGTCTATTTTCTTTCTGTTGCTGTGTAAGTTCTTGCACTTTTTGGAATTTCAATGGCTTTACCCCGAGCTCATTTTTCAATATTTTCCGAATGGAATATTGCGATATGTTCAGCTCACGAACCATTTTGCGGCCACTGCGACGCGCGTTTCGATCAAGTCGCTTCTTTACTTTTCGAACCATTTCTGCTGATGTTGCCGTTTCTGTTTTCTTCCGTCCATTTCCTTGTCGCCGGGCTACGCTACCAGTATCACGGTATCGAGCGATGGTACGGGACACAACAGATTTTTTCACATTTAAATGCTGGAGTGCTCTAACGATAGCCACTTGTGGTTTTCCAGCCAAATATAAAGAAATCAAACTATCACACTTGAATTCCATCACGAATAACTTTTTTGCTGGAAAATTATCACCAGAATGCTTTTGTACGTTTGTAAACAATATAATGAGTTGTCACTGGAATAATTTTATTAGCTGTCGGTCGAGTGGTTTAGAAATGGCAGCAGTCTGAATTTGGCTGCTGTTTTTCCATCTCACCCTGTATGTCAAGGTGCAATATTTCGAGGTATTACAAACCTTTTTGCTCAATCAAACTTATAACACTACCAAAACATAGTGTTGTAGGATATGCATATCTTAAGAACTTTCGTATTCGATCGATCGTATCGAAGTTATGAAATTTTGTACTATTTAGTATGATGATGATTTTTTACCGTTGGTACGATGGCTATATATTTTCTCTCATCGTTAATATTTAGAGCTGTTAAGTTCTGTTCAATAGCCACAGGTGGCTCATCAAACCAAATGACAATCACTAAGTATATAAATTGAAAGTTCCTTCATTGGCCATTTTGCAAAAAAAAAAAAAAAAATATTCCTTCTCTTCATTTCGAAATGATAAACTCTTTGTCTTTAGGAAAAAATCAAAAGTTTTTACTATATTTAAAATTCGGTTCGGAATAATAAGTTGTTTATTTTTGTCGAGTAATCACAAGTATTCCAGTTGTCATAATGTAACATAATATATAATAGGTACATGGGTACGCTGACAATGTTTCAAAAATTAATCGCAAACATTTACATTGGAATTGAAAATTTTTCGCATTTAAATCAGAATGGGGCGCTAAATATATTCTGCAGCCAAACATGACGAACAAAATTTGCTTCTACCCTCTCCTTCGAATGGGGGGAATTTAAAAGATATTGACAACCGGTCAAACGGCCCGTCACACAGAGTAATTGTTGTCAACGAACCTAACATTTCATTTGTTTGTAAACATTCCGTGACGTCACAGCACGAATGGCTTTCTACATATAATTACACCGTCTAGTCTGTTCCAGGCTACCTTAGATATCACAGATCAAGCAAGAAATGTAACACCACTTCTTTGGAAGTCGTCCACCGACAATTTCATTTTAAACAGAAAACCATTTAACTAACCTCGTCTAATGAATAATACTTTGAACTCAGTATTCTTGCTGTTGTCGTCGTCGTCGTCAGCGATTACAACCAATAACGTCAACAATGTGGAAGTACAAGCGGAATTGTCCAGTGCTGTAATGACTTGGAACTGAGAAACATGTTT